ATATTTATATAAAATTAAAATGAGCTCTAAATAGAAAAGAAATTGTTGTCTGGTCTAAGAAAAATAAATCACATGTAAAAGAAACTTGCAAGCTATAATCTAGCAAGAAAAGAAATTGTTGTCTGGTCTAAGAAAAATAAATCACATGTAAAAGAAACTTGCAAGCTATAAGTTAATCTAGCAAAAAACATTGAAGTTTATTATTCATGGGTCAAAGTCTCTCTAAAAGGTGTGAGATAACCAGTAGTCTCAGGTTCAATCTCAAGCCAAACTACTGGAAAAACTAACTACTAGTAATTTCAGCATCTCTGGTCACAGGAATGTTTCAGGGTTGAAGGAGAAGGGCATCATACTATTTTATTTGCTCCTTTCCCCTATGACTTATTTCAGTTTCTGCCATTCTCACCTTTTATCTGACAGCACAAGAGACTCAACAGCAAAGTTCTGTCCTAGTTGAAGGTGCAACACATGCGGGATACTTCCTAACCTTACACATGAACCAATTCATATATTGCTATCAAAGAAACAACAACAACAACAACAACAAAAAAAAAAAAATAAAAAAAAATATCAGCTTTGCAGTCTTGTGCTACCATGTAAGGAAGAGTTCAGGTCAGCAACTCCCCAGGCCAGCAGGGGCTGGAAATGCTGGAGACAACCCATTCAGCCCCCAGAAGAGAAGGCACCTCTGGTCGCTTTTGAACGACTCCTCTTTGGCTAATGCCTGACGCAGTGTTAACCTGACTCCGGAATAGTCTCTGTCAGCTTTCTTTAACCATCAAACCACTGTAATGCATGGCTTCTGGGAGGAGTTAGATGAAGGATGAAGAAGATCAAGAATGAACAAAGAACTGGTGGTGGTTTATGAAAGACATGAAGAGAGCATTACTAAATTTCAGTAGCAAATAAGCACAAGCCATAGGAAAAACAAAGTTTAACAAATGGAAGGACTGAAATATTAGTGTTGTTTTAAAAAAAATGTAGATAAGAAATGCTAGTCTGACCAATAAAATGTGGGTTTCCTTTTCATGTAAGTGAAAAGTTTTTCATCCCCTTCCTCCCTCAAATAAGAATTTTTGTACTGAAAAAAAAAAGAAAAAATCCCAACAAATAGTTTGTGTCTCACATCTTGATGTATCAGGAGACCTGTTTTTGAAGACAATTCTCTAATGAGACTGCATACATCTGTAGGCTCCCTTAAGCCTTGGAAGGCTGGAAAAATGCCCATTATCAGAAACTGCGTTTGTGTAAAGTTTTCATTCTAATGCAAAGTATCCCAGCACCACCTCTAGCTCCTCCACCTTTGGTCCACAACTATAGTGTATGCTCAGGACCTACACATGATCTCATATTGGGCACTTTCAGCACTAACGAAGTGGATGATTCCACCTTACACAATGGATGGAGAAACCTATTCTAGCTCCTCTCACGCTTTTCATTGGACTTCACCCAAAAAAAGAATGTTGGTGCTGCTGTGGGTTTGACGATCAATTTCTTTTAAGAGCCAATCAGAGCAGATAAAAAAGTTGTTTCTCTAGGCAATATCAAACTATGACCAGACTGCATGACCAGGAGGACCAGTCCTCCTTTTCCTTCTCTCTTTGATCAAGTATTGTTTTATTTTTCTTCTTCCTCTCACCACAGTGCTTAGGATCAGAATATGTAAACATCGACAGAAACAGCAGCCCTGTGACAATAAGCACTTTCCCAACTGGGCAGATTCTGTCAGCCAACCAGAACTGCTTCAGCTCCCTTGCTTGTCCAGAAGTCACTGGTTTTTCCGCTGTAACTTAGTGTCCCCTTTACTTTGGCCTCCATCTGTAGTTGAGAGACAGGAAAATAAAGGAAGAATAGAAGCATGAGTGAACTTTTATTTTTGTAACTTAGAGCAAGAAAAAAAGGAATTTTGCATGTTCAACTTTAGCATCACCCAAAATTGCCTTTATATGGTAGAAAACTTTGCATCTTCTCCATAGTTCATTTATTGGACATAGCACTGTTGAAACCTGAGATATCAAGCTTCATACCAAAACACTGCCCTATTTTTTGGTGCTGAGAACTCTTAGAAGAGCATGAAGAATGCCTACCAAGCCACTGCCACCCTTCCCATTCCTTCCCCTGGCCCCACAACACACTACAGGTGACAAAGAAAGGACTACACTCTAAACTGCACCTTCTAAAGCTTTCTGGTAATTTTTCAGCTCTAAGCCTTACAAACAGTAAAATAAGTGCAACTTTCTCTTCTCAGTCAAAATGTTCAAGCTTATCTAATCAAAGAAGAAATTAAAATTGAGTGGAAAGACTTTATGCAGGTTATAAACAACCATGTTAGTGTCCAGCAAGTAATAGTAGTTTTTTCCTCCCCAGATGAATTTGTACAATTCAGTTTCTAGAATTACTGCAATAAAGTATCGAAATTTTTGAACTTTTCTTTGTTCTTGACATTGAAATAGGAAAAAAAAAAAATCATCCAGGTTCCAAAACCACTACTACAATAGAATGAGCACTGCCTGCTGCTACCAAAGCTTGTGCCTGTGTTGTCTTCTTTAAACTAACTACTAGGGCAGAAATTTGACTTTTAAGTTAAAATAAGTCAAAAGTATGAAATAAGAACAATAGTGTCTTTACCTGTATAAGCTTGCTGCAAGTGAGCAGGCAGAGGTGAGTGAGACAGCGTCGCTGCATGCTGAGCACCTGGCTGTAAACCCTTCAGTAAGTCTGGGGAAAGAAATGGAGAGCAAAGATAACAGCTGAATCTTGAGGAAAGAGGCAGTCTGAAATAGCAAGTATTTGTTTTTAGAGTGTAGCTGTAGTAGCAGGATAATTTCCACAGATTTCTCCATAATAAAAAAACAAACTCACATGGAATAAGTCAAGAGAAACAAACACACTTGGATACAGTTAATGAAAAGTCAGAGCAAGGGCCATGCCTCGCTCTTGGGATGCAGCTCATCGTATCATTTCTTTCCAGAGAAAGAACAATTTATATGGGTTAAAAACTTCGGGTTTTTTTTTTTTTTAAGCAATTGGAAAAACCAAATGCCATCTCACAAGAGAGCTGTTTGATATCTGGGACTACTGACCTAAGAATATCCTGCAGAATCACCACATTAAGTCTCTTATTTGTGCTGTGACATTTGGAGACTTTTAGATATATTCCTTTCTAAAGATAAGGTGTTAAAAGATAACCCCAAAAAGCACATACTGTGAATGTAACAATGAAGTTCATCTTATCAAAGGTGATTTATAAGATTTAGATAATTATGCAAACAAAGTTTTTACCAGCAAAGAAATCACATTTACTCTCCTGTTGGGATTTTCACGAACCAAATCTGAGTGTCTCAGAACTTTATTGCTTCCCTTCTCCATTTCCATTTTAAGGATGCACAGTGTGGTAACTAGTTCCACTCACTCTGAGTTAGGCTGTGGTGGAAAGCCGCTGAGGTAGATCCCGAGGTGGTTGTCACTCCAGCTGTGTCCGTCCCAAAGCTAAGCAGCTCCAAAGGAAACTGGAAGGGCACAGTCACAGGAACAAGGCCACCCAGCATCCCAAAAGGAGTTAATGGTGCAGACGTCACGTTCTGACTGGTGACAGACAGGGGTGATGCCATGAGAGTCAGAGGTGAGGCATTAGCCAGTAACGATGCTCCTGCTGTTGACTGTACAAAAGAAAAAATAAAAGCAGTACTTCAAGATTTTAAAGTTTTAAGCTGTATTCCTTAAGGATACAAAAAATTGACTATTTGCTGTTAAGTGTTGTTCTGCTGAGAAGTGCATTAAACTATTAACATCCACCTAGGAGGACTTCCCAGTGTTCATCTGCTAAACAAGCACAATTTTCTCTCAGATTTTGACAATAATATGGCTCATCTCTCGTGTTCCTCTCATCAGCCTTACAAGTTATTTCCTTCACCTCCTTTCTTCTTACGCTCTGGGTTTACAATCACAATCTAATGCAAAGTCTTCTATGAGATTAATAATACGAAAACATCAGATGCAGATCCGAAGTTCTTTAGAAGTACAGTGTTACTCTCCCCTCTCCAAATCTGGGTCTTAACAGAACATTAACTTTATTGCTAAGGAGACTGCTGAGAATCTGTGATTTTTGAAAACTGAGATTCATACATAAGAACCTTCACACGTCAAGAAGTCAAGTTACCAAGATGCAGACATACATACTTGAGTATAGCTGTATATGCACATGTCAATGGAAAAGGCAAAGGAAAATAATCTCTCCACTCTAGATGTGTCAAAATGAAGTTAAATTCACTATAAATTAAAACTGAAAATGCAAGCTTAGCCAGAACATTTTAGCTACAACAGGTCCCAAATAACATTACTTTCTCTAACATTAGACCAGCTCATTCTTGCTTAACAATCTTTCCTTCACTACTTATATAGTACTTTTATTTGCTAATGTTCAGTTCGTTAATGATCTACTACAGAACAGTTAGTACAGAAAGCATTTTGAATCAGACTCAAACTCAGGTATTGTAGATATCTGAGTTACAAAGACTCAGACTGAACAGGACTTCAAATCTGTCCATTTTTACAAGTAAACCTCAACTAAACCCAAACCTTAGAATCATTTTAACAAGTATGTGAGTGTAAAACGAAAATGAAATCTTTTTGAGTTCTGTAATAACAACCTAGAGAAAGGGCAAAGTGTGGAAATGTCCTAGCAGGGATAAAATTTCTATTACCTATTTGGTCTTAAGGTGTTCAGATCAAAGCAGCTAAAGAAAGGGTAGGTGCTGCTTATGAGAAAACATAAGATTATAAAACAGTGACCCTGTAAAGCATATTTACCTACATATGTGATGTTCCTAGCAAATGTTTGTGTTGGCCATCTTAGGAGTGACAACCTCTACAACATACTCTATCCCATGAGTAGAAAAAACATGAGTTCAAAAGATCAGCATACACTGATTATTCTCTTCTGCCTTTAAAAATGTTAATTTCACAGTAAGCCAATGTACAAAAAAAAGACAACTGTTTGTTGTCTACGTAATCCAGGAAAGTGCAACAAAAGCCATACAGCAATGTTTTGCAATTGTGGATTTGTAAAACACCTGAAAACAGAAAAACTTTGCCCTGCCATGACCTTGTCTGCTCTCTCATGGAGGAGGAGACACACAGTGATGAAAGGAGCTACAGAGCATGCCCTGAAAGAGCTGCGTTCAGATGTTTCCATCTGACTCGTGTACAAGAGTTCATGAAAGGATTCATCCCAGTCATGTACATCTGAGTCATTAAGATCCTTAGAAGTCTAGTCTAAGCCAGATTCTGCTCATGAGTACTAATGGTGGGTAGAGCTTTTTAAGGAAATGATATGTGTAATCTTTGACTTTGTGTTCTTAAGGTGTAACTTAATAGA